TGAAAACTTCTTATTCTTGTTTCATACTGTATTTGAACTTTCTACAGGGCTTTGTATCTAATTATAGTCCTGTTACAAAAACAAAATTTATTAAAATTTGCCTTCAGTCTGACTTGAACTATTGACTTAGTTTGTAGGGGTTTGGAAGCTTAACCAATAAGCTATAGGATCCAAACCCTATAATTTTTTTTATATAACTTACAGATTATCAATTAATAATATTATTTTAGAAGTTAAGTTTTGTAGTTTATTTAAACCTTTACAAAAAAGATCAATAGTTTAAATTAGAATAAAAACAAATTTATAAATTTGTTTCTATAATTTTAATATAATTAAGTTTAAATATAAATAAAAATTTGAACTAGAAATTTTTAAAAAAAGTTTAAATATAAAGTAAATATATTATATAACTATAATATTATAAAAAATTTTTAATTATAGTAATTGTATAAATAAGTTTTTTAAAAAAACAAGACAATATCAATATTTTAGTATTTCTAATTTAAGTAATACTAATAACTCCTTTATATTTAATTTATAAATACTTGTTTAGAAAATAGTTATTTAATTATATAAATAAGTTTTTATCTAGATCAAAAAATACTAGTACTTGCTTGAAAAAATAATTTATATTAACTAAAGTTAGAATAGTAAAAAAAAGTAGCAAATATATAAATAGTTTGTAGTAAAAAAATATTAACTAGGTAAACTATGGTTTATCTAGTCAGTTTATATTGTTCTAAATAAACTATGGCCACTCTGGTAGGTTTAGGTTACAAATAACTTTTTGTAGGCTCTGTTTGAGCTTCTAGTCTTAGCATTCTTTGGATATGGAATTTATATGTAATTTTTTTTTTGTAAAAAAAGTTTAAATAAATTTCAATAAAATTAGAAGCATAAAGATTTAAAAAAAAAAAAAAATAGCAAATATATATATAGTCTGTAGTAAAAAAGTAGCAAATATATAGATAATCTGTAGTAAAAAATTGATTTTATTAAAATTAAAAATACTATAATTCTTTAAATAAATATAATAATTAAATGATTATTGCTAACTTGCTTCCAAGGTGATATCACCTAGTTATACATAAAACCAATCAAATTGCCAGGTTTTGTGTAACCAAAACAAAGCGAAGGAATAAAAAAAAACTAATAAAACTATGCTTCGACTTCTAAGCAAAAGTTTTTAACATCAAATTTTATATATAAACAATACACCTCTTACCCTAACCTAAAGCTAACTCTAACTCCTAACTTTAAGGTTATTTAATTTTTAATAATACTGGGCGATATCACCACGGGTGAAAATTAGTTATAATCTAATTAGATATTATACAGTAAAATAATATTACAAATTCTTCAATTGCAACTATTGGTTCTAGTAATGTTTGCAGAATATAACTATGTTTATATTGTTTATATATTTTTTTTTATTAGACATAGGTACTTAGTCCAAATACAAATCGAATGCTTACTACGTATTTCGAAATATTTCCATTATATTTCTATAAATTTGCAACATGACTGGCTACGCCAAATAATTTCCATTATTTGAAAGTATAAATTTCATAAATATGCAACATTTATGGATAAAACATAATCCAAATTAACTTTTTTATAGCCGAATAGAAAGTTATTACCGTATTGTCGTGAAATAACGCGCAGGGGTGAAATTACGAATTTCGGCCTAAATTAAGCTTAATTCGGGCCACTATTCTAAATAACGCCCATGCCTGTTATTTCGCGACAATACGGTAAATGTAAATACGGACAAGGTCGAGACCAAAAATAGAGTAAAATTCTGAAACATTTCAGTAAAGAAGACATGAATGAATCATTAAATTGATTTCATGCAGGATATTGAGGAAATCTGTAAATTGCCATCACTACACCAGAATAAACATTTAATCAATATACAAAATATAGATATGGGATACTATGTCCAAATATTGTACATAGTTCAAATGCTTGCATTTAGGGAGTCTAACTAGATTTTTAAATAATACTGTATATATATACATATTTATTGATATTGAAATATATGAAAATCAAATTTGATATACTATATTTACGGTAAAATACGTAAAAAAAAATTGAAAATCAGATTCTAGGTTATCAAACATACAAAATCCCTAATAATAATTTTAGTAAAATCTGATAAAATCCGGGTAAAAATTAAACTCTGATGTATACACGGCTACGTACGTACTAATTTTAAATTACTTAGAAACGGATTTAATTTTTACCTAAAATTTTATCAAGATTTCACGGAAATAATCAGGATATTTGGTTTCAGAAAAATATAAACAATTTTTTCGGAACGATAACTTTGGGAGAACCGGATATGTTTTTCAAAAATTTTTTATAGGGGTATTAAATTAATTAGGTATCAATTAATTGATTTTTTTGATACCGATACAGTATCTTTAAGGATCAATTATTACGTACGTACACAAAAAATGAATTAGTTAAATATGAATACGGTATAGATCTTTTTTTTAACGAATTATATTTATAGATAAACCCGTGTAAAATTATAAAAATATATCAATATATGTCTATAAATCAGTATATATGAATTAACATTTTTGTATCAATAAGGTTTTTATTTAACGATGCATTATTTTTATACGTAAGAAAGCTTTATCTAACGATGCATTATTATTTACGTGGGGGTTTGAAAAAAAAATTATGATCGACTACCGTTACGTATAAGTTTGCTAGCACTAGAATACGTAATTGTTGTTAAATTGGTCAAATCGAACTGCAAAATGGTTGATACTAATTAAACATGTTCAAGTTACACAAGTATTGACTGGTCAAAAAATTATGAACTACAGAAACGGGCATGAAGGTTTTAGGTTTATAATTTTATAATAATATTAGAATAATATTATAACTTAAGCCAAATTTGAAATAAATAAAATCCTAATGCATGTAAAGTCTCAAACATTCAAAAATTTCAAGCATTACATGAATTAATCGTAAATGGAACCGTTTACGTAGAAGAATTGAATAGATAATTATGTAGAAACCAATATTGTTAAAAAATGTTATAATAATACACCAAGTTGTTTCGAAGTGGAATGTTTAATGTTAACATTGTTCGACTAGACCACAAAAAATTCGAAAGAAATTCGAAATGATTACAAAATAAATTGAGGTAGTACTTAAATTTAAACATTTACGTTGTGTACAACCGTAACTCTGTTTATGTACGTAAGTACGCATAGAGATAACATTTGGACCATTAGCAAAATTTCACCTTATTGGGAGGTTAATGAATTCAATATATATGTATATATTGATTTTAAGTTTATCATTCATTATACATATCGTATTGTATAAGTAACGTATTGAAAATTGAATTGCATAACGTATCATAATAAATTTAAAAAATTAATACAGTACTAATCTCGCTAATCTGTAATCATATGGCGGATGATCAAGGAGATTCAGGATTCCCGGTATTTATTACATCTATAGGGGAATCATTTAAACCAAATTCAAAAAAGTTATCGTTATTGAACCAGTCATTTTAATAAACTTGTCTTTTTTATACGTTACATTCAACAACTTCTAAATACAGAAATACCATTTTTATTTTTTAGTTCTGGATACGTACGTATAAAGGTACGTACGTACGTATTTTATGTTATTTTATGTACGTACGTATGTATTCAAAATATATACGTATAAACTTTTCTTTTAATGCGCTTTAAAACCGATTTACAAACACGGAAAACTGAGATTAATAATTATATAGAATTGAAAATCGATTAATCGAATACGTTTTTAACCAATTAAATTAAATAATACAATCACGTGACCAAGAGAGTCATGAGGACAATGATGAATTTTTAGGTAAAAATTGAAAGAACGTATCATTATATCATTATCGTTATAATAAAATATCCATTAAAAACCTTTTAAATGTATATATATATATACATATATGGTATATATATACATTGAACAAAAGATCGACTTTTTCTAATGTTAAATATATATATATTAAAAAAACAATCGGAGTTATGCAGATTTGTACATATAATGATGTATAATGATTTCCTTAGATTTCCTCAAAAAATAAACGTTTATAATTTCCGAAGCTTTTCCGATTATATACTCGTCATTTTTTTTTAACAACGTGTTTAAGATCCCAAGGGGACTTCAAAGGCGTTATTATTACTTGTCTTGTACGGATAAATTATAAATTAGGAAGAGTGATTATTACATATATATATAAAATTTATATTATAAAATTCAAACAATTATAATTTCCGAAACTTTTCCGATTATATCGATTATACGTATATAGTTCGTGTCGTTTTAACAAACTGGTTTAAACAACTAGTTTAAGTAAGACTTTAACGATCATTAACGATCATTAAATAACGACTCATTGTACGTCTTGTACAGATAAATTAGGAAGAACGATTGCTAGATATGTTTTTATTCACTATTACATAATATTACGTCATTGCTCTGAGCCAGGAATTTAACACTTTCTTTACATTGTTATTACCATAACACCTTTGCCCATCCTAATTGATCCTAATTGATTACACAATATGTACTCTAATTCAAAACTCGGTAAAAGAACATTAAGGTATAACACGTGACAATATCTCAATACAATACACGATACGTATATACAAGTATATAAAGTTTATGTTTATTAAGGATAAAACTGTACAGAAGTTTGTTTGCTTAATATTACTTAAAGTAATCTAAAACATACGTATAAATGATAATATCGTTCACTAATAGTAAAAAGAATGGATGTGTAACTCATTGGGGGAGGGGAGTTACATTAGTTACATAAATTAGTATTTCAATTCTGTCATAAGACAAAAAAGAAAAAATAAAATTAATTGGAAAAAATTGGAAAAAAATCTATTTATTATAATGAAGGAATTTTTTTTGTTTTTTTTTTTAGGGTGTCATAAGCTAAATTACATCGCACATATTAGATGTGCAAAAAAAAAATTACTATATTACTTTTTAACAGAATTATTTTGATTATTTTGAATCTCTTTCAAATAATCTGGTGGAACATGGTTATGCTTTTTCGTTAGACTACAAGATCCAGCACAACATTCAATCATTTGGAACCATGTGTTCTTCTCTATTCGTTCGATAGTGATACGTTTTTTTGCGTCAGGTTCTAAAATTTTATACATTAACTCCCGACAACCTGAAGGAAGTTTCTCAAAAGGTTCATATAAACCAAGGTTTTTCGTTTCTAGGTAGTTTGTGTAATTTGGATCTGATGGAGTTGCCATCCTAAATGGAATTCCTTGATATATCATGCAGTAATATACAATACCACATGCCCAAACGTCAACAAGTCGAGCATCATATTCTTTTGTTTCAAATTGCTCCTATAAAAATATAAAATTTATAAAAATGAGTGAGTATAAAAATGAAAATATATAAGGAACTAAATTTAATAATAAAAATGAAAATATATAAGGAACTAAATTTAATAATAAAAAAGTTTAGTTAAATTTACCGGAGCAATATATGGTTCAGAACCACAAAGACCTTTGGACATATGTGCAGCTTCTTCCCAACATGTTCTAAAAACGTCTGATACACCAAAATCAGTGATTTTCAAATGGCCATTTTCATCAAGCAATAAGTTTTCTGGTTTTATATCTCTAATAGTTACAGAAAAAAAAAAGATTAATATTAATAAATGACATATAAAAGCTAATAAATAATTAATAAAGTTAATAAAGGCGAAAATGCATACCTATGAGCAACACCCATAGAATGAAGATAACCAACACCTCTAACAAGTTGTTTAAAACAACAATCTATCTCAGTAGTTGACATGTGACCAGATTTTATAGCAGTGTAAAGATCACCACCAGCACAATATTCCTAAATTACAAAAAAGAAATTATATAAAAGAAAAAGAAAAATGACGAAATATATATATATATATATATAAATATATATACGAACCATAACTTCACACCAATTATGATTTTCATCTTGAACCAAATCTACTGTTCTTACAACGTTAACATGTTGTAATGTAGAACTTATACAAAATTCACTAGTTAATTTTTTTACATAATCTTTTTCTGATTCATTCTTTCTTCTTTTTCTAAATTCCTATATAAACATTATCAAAAAAAGTTATTAGATATTATTAAATTACAATTAAATTACAATTACATTAAATTACAAATATTAATAATTACCTTGACAGCATAAGTTTTTTCACAATCCGACTGATCAAATTTGTGAGCAAGACGAACGACGGCAGTAGCACCTTTACCGATACAACCCTTATCACACACCCCGTATTTTTTTATTAACATGGATTCAGTATCAGTCGCTTTACCACTGTCACTACCACTACCCGAATCACTACGTTGAGATTGTTTTTCATCGAGTTCCAATTTGGGATTAAGAATTTCTTTCAACATTGTTCTGCCATCGGGAGTGACATTGAAATTAAATTCTTCCTTTTCTTGTTCAGGTGAACCAAGAGGAGAAGCAACAGGAGATTTTGATTCATGGATCAAAAGTTTTTGGATACTCCGAACAAAGGTGATCTTTTTTGGTTCGGTAGAACCATTTATAGAAGTGCCATTTGGAGAACTTCCATTTGAAGTAATTCCATTTTCATACAAAGGTTCGCTGGATTTACTAGCCTCATCAACGGAAGGAGTGATAGCGGTGTTATCAGTAGAATTGGTTGAAAGGGAAGTAGTAGAAATATCTTCAGACTCGTTTACGGGTTTTATAAACACAGCTTGAAGTGGGTTGGTGAGATTGTTGGGACTAACAACAGGTAAGCTAAGATTTCTCTTTGGTGCTCTCGTTTTACGTTCTTTGGCAACGTGTAGAATCTCCTTTGCTTCAGATTCAGTTACACGACGACGAGCCTTACTATCTAAAGCCGGAGCCCAGTAATCGGTTGTAAAGGTAACCATGCTAAATAGATGCTGTCAGAGGATCACAAAGAAGGATCGGAATTGTCGAAAGAAGGTTTTTCTGCCTGTAGTTTATTCCCCACTAACAGTATATAAATTTATTTGAAAAATGTATATATTAAGAAAGGAAATAGATTCGGTTTATAAAGGGTATTTATAAATCACTGGAAGAAAATTAACTATTCCGATATTCTCAGATATTGGAATTAAATATTAGATTAAATACATTAATTACAAAACGGAAGTCTAAGATTGAACGTGGTCTATATTTTTATTTTTTTATTTTTTTTTTGTTTTTTTGTTTTTTTTAAAAAAAAAAAAAAAAAAAAGTAATAAAATTAGACCGTTTATTTATACGTGTCAGAGATAAAGTAGATCAAATAGTTATCAGTTTATAAATCGGGAACTAAAATCATCATAAAAATTGATTTACCGCACAGATGCAGTTTTAATTATATATATATTTTTTGATATTGTTATCAAGATTTTGATTATTTTGATTGCATAATAAAACAAAAACTACTTTTTTTTTTTTTTCTACTGTACAAGGAAAAACAGAATAAACTGGAACAATTACTCAAAATAATTTATTTTTAAGGATGAGGCGAGAATAGGCGAGATGGAAATTGTAAGTACATAGAATAAAAAAAAAAAAAAAATTGTATTTTATTCTATTTTTATTTTTTTTTTCATATAAAACTAACGATATATTACAAGTGGTGTTAGCGTAATTTTTTTATCTAGCAAAACGGTGTTTACAATCAATCATGTGGATGTTTTATTAAATTTATTGAAAGCGGGGCTGGGCTGGATGTCAAGGACGACGTTTAAGCCAGGTATGGATTGTCAAACGTTGTAAGAGTTAGCGCAACATCAAGACTGACAAATCAAAGGCTCATGTTTAGCACAAAGAAATGAAAATTTCCATAAAAAACAAGAATATGGCAGAAAGCAGAGTACAAGACGTACCATATACAGCTTATCACCAAAGAATTTATAATCGGGCTTAAAATAATATATCAAGAATGATGTACTTCAAAATCAAACAAATTCAAGAAATTACATTGGTTGCTATTCATATGGACTAGAAAAAGTTTGAAAAAAAAAAAATTTTTTTTTTTATTATTTAATGGTTTAAAAAGCGTATCATTGTCTTATGACCTATCTCGTTTGGATATTTGTGTGATCCAGGTTCGCTCACGTGTAACTCTCATGGTACTACATAGCAATATGTAATGTAATATATTACGATGGGTTCATACAGTATTATCAAAATAATACAGTAATAGGCATGAAAAGAGTAATTGCATTACAATCTCAAATGACCACTTTTTTTGCATATTAGAAAATGTGTTTGATGCTTTTTTATAATAACAGTAAACAAATCCAATCACAATCGCCACATTTTTTATTTATCATGTGATCTTTAGATTTATGTTTCCTTTGATGTACGTCTATCGCTATTTTGTTTGATAGCATGCATTCGATCAGTTATCAATCAAAAATACCATATAAATGTATATTAGCATACATATGCTATTCCTATCGTAGTGACCGTTTAAACAATCAATGGTCAGTTATCTATAGTGTCTTGTTTACTATAAAAACAAAAGATTTTAGCTAAATTTAACACTTAAAGTATTAATCAAAGTATTAATCTCGATCGCTTTTTTTGAAAAAAAATATTTGTTAAAAAGCATTCAATGAATAATAATACGTATATAGTTACATATATATCATTATTAAAAGATTCCATAATTTTATTAGATGTACGTATTTATAAATATTTCCAGTAATTAATATGTACCTTATTGGGTCTAGATTGCCAAGATTTCATCAAATGAACGTGGAACTGACCCATCAGATTACAAGGCGATCCATCTCTACTTCTTTGGTTAATGAGTCGCATCTCGGAATACCCCAAATTTGATTACTTATT